TGGCTGACTTCCCTGAGAAACAAGGGCTTAGTTAAGAACCCACACACACATTCATATAAGTACGCAGGTGCACCCGAAACTCAAAAACAAAACAAACAAAAAACAAAAAAACTGGCAACTTCTCTTTCTGTATTGTTATGGTTCAAAGATGGGTTCTCTGGTTTGAAATTGAGTAACTTGTATTTGGATGCTTAGTTTGATTGATTAGATACAGGGATATGCTAAGTATTCATTCATTCATTCATTCATTCATTCATTCATTCAACTTTATCCAACCCAATAATCAAAATTCTCTCGGCTGTTTACAACAATTCATTAAAACAAAATCTAAAATACAGCACCATATAAAAACATTGGGGGAAATTGCTATACAAAAATGTAAAACCACATTGATAAAGACATATTTTTGATTGATATAGAGTGATTCCCCTCTGCAATTGATCAGGCAGTAGATGTTCTGGAAAAAATGAAGAGAGAAAAAATTAAGTGCTGTGTGTAGTATATGGACAATAGTTAATATAGATGAGTATTGTAAGTATGCAAGCATTTACAAGAAGACCAGATGGTGGGATGCCTCTGAAAAGAGGCTTCCCCTTTATTTTTCTTCTTCTTTCTTATATACAGGAGTGAATGCCTCTTCACAGGTGGTGCCCATTTTGACACGTACAGATATCTAATTGCATGCAGATTTAATTGATAAGCGATCAATCGATTGACCCTCATGCAATACATCAACCAAGACTTCTTCAAGTCCGATGAGGTCTGACAACCCTGCCCCACCTTGTTTCTTTCGTGGGCACATCTCTAGGACAAAGAGAGTCAGCTTTCAAAGTACGGTGTTAATTCTGTCATATGTTTAGAGACCAAGATGAGTGACGAAAGTCTTATATTTACGGGAACAAAGAGACCCCCCCTCCTCCTGAGGTGAAGTTTACAGAAAATTAATAGAGACACAGAAAGAGGAATAGGTTTAATTTTCCCTCCACATTCACATGGGTATAAAACAACAGCCGAACATCAGTTATTCATGCTAATGGCTGGGAGACCCGTTGCAGCAGATGCTTGAATTTTGCAAATTAGCAAGTTAAGCATTCAAGTCCAATAAAACAGTCAAAAGCACTGTAGCCTTAAATGTAGCCGTTCGTTTCTTCTGACACTTTTAATTTAGAGCAATGTGTTCACCACAACGCTTCAGAGCACACCCGCATATAAAGGTGCCGTAGTCTGCGTTCTTTTCTTCACGTTTTTTAGTTTATAAAAACAACAAAGATGATAATAATATTCGCACTGGGAAGGAATACCGAGAGCTCGCTATCTCGGTAGCGCAGCCCCTTTCAGCAATACGGAGCTGTGCTATTAAATCTCAGCTGGCTCAAAGCAAGCAGGTTTTATCGGGGTTGCAGATAATCAAAGTGAGAATTAGTGAGGCTTGACTATAGATATTTCAGTAAATAAAAGAGCTATTTTTGCCTGACATATTGATGCCCCTAATACAGCCATAAGTGCTTGTTCGGGAGTTTGTCTGCTCCAACATATATATTCAAGAGAAACAAGAAGGCATGATGCAGCAGTAATTCCTCGTGCAAGACAGAGGTTCGCACCATTTCCTTTTCGAGGGAATGGGGCAGAGCCCTCTCTGCCAGGTGTTTCCATCCCCAGAAGTTCAGTCTCCGGTGAATATCTCCTTTCCTTTTCCTGCTTCCTTCTCCACAGGCAAATAATGGATATTGCCTAAACACCAGGATACCCTTGCGCTGTACAAAAAGTGGAATAGATGAACCCTTGCCTCCATGGCTAAATAGACAAATACGAATGGGACCAAAAGAAAAAGGAATGAGGAAGAATAAGGTTAATAAGAAGACTCCAGTACCAGCTCTTTCCCAATGTTATTAGGGCAGTTAGGGTGGTATATAAGTGCAAACAAACAAACAAATGTGAAAAGGAGATAAAAAGAACATTTACCCGGAGCAGAGCCTTCTCTGCGGTGGCACCCAGTTTATGGAACGCACTCCCTGGAGAGGTGTGCCTGAAGCCGAGTTTATATATTCTTTTCAGAGCCAGGTTAAAACCTTTTTATTTAATCCCTATCTAAAAAACTAAAATTTTATCGTTAACAGTTGCTCTTTTTGTTTTCGGTTTTTTGTTTTTATATAATCTTTTATTTGAATTTGTTATTTATAAAGATTATTTTATTGTTTTTAATTGTATATATTGTGAGCTGTGCTGAGATGCCAAGGCATGTGGTGACGGCATACAAAAGTTAAAAAAAAATAAAGTGCTTAGTGGCTTCGTAAAAATCAGGTGGAGTGGGGATGGAGTGCCATTCTGGAAGGGGAGGAGACACATGGTCTTAGCCAGGTTGACAGAAGGGTCCTCCTCCATGTCTCTCCATCCTCCAATGCATTCAAGCAGACTTGCTGTGGACATTTGCTCCTTCTCCTTGATTAGCAGAAACTGGGTCAAAATGTCCTACTCAGCTTTGTGGAGTCAATCCATCTTATATTTGGTGTTCCCTTTCTTCTTATGCCTTCAACTTTCCCTGGCATGATTGTCTTCTCCAGAAAGTCTTGCCTTCTCATGATATACCCAAAGCACGACAGCTTCAGTTTCATCAGTTTTGCTTCCAGGGCAAGTTCTGGCTTGATTTGACCCAGGACCCACTTGATTGTCAGTATTTCATTATTTGCAAAGCTCTCCTCAACACCACGTTTCAAACGCATCACTTTTCTTCCTCTCAGCTTTCTGACACTGTGATTGGGAATACAGTAGTTTGGATGATCTTGGCCTTGGTCTCCAGTGAAACACTCTTATGTTTGATGGTATTTTCTAGTTCCTTCACTGCTGCCCTTTCCAAGACTCAGTTGTCTTTGAATTTCTTGGCTACAGCTTCATTTGATGTATTCAGAGAATTCAGGCTGAGAATTCAGCTTTTCTTGGCATGGAATTTAGGCTGCCTTGACACAGCTTTGAGTCCTTAGACTTAGCCATCGTTGGGCTTTAAACCACAGGACCAGGCTGATGAAAAACAGATGCCAGGCTTAGGAGTTTAGGGGAGTGAGATGATGATGCCATTACACTATTTTTTCAAGGACTACCCAAATGCTAGCAATCAGCGTTGGGTTTTGTGATTAGCTAGGAATCCTGTATAATTGTAAGACCTCTCCCTGAAATAAGTGGCTGATTCATGCTTCAGGAATGAACTGAAGCACCCTTATCTGGTCAGCGCTACAATCTCCATAGAAACTGACCGAGTCCATCATTAAAATGTGGCTGTAAAAGAGCTGCTAATATAATGCTGCAGAAAACATTTTACAGCCCTATTTAATGTGCAAAATGCTTTATAACCCATCTCATCTGCCTGCAACAAAAGCTTAGTTGGCCTGTCTTCATTTTACAGCGAGGGGAGACACAACTACTTGGTAGGGCCACCCAAGCAAACTAGCTTGCTGAACCGAGATTTGATCTGGGCTCTGCAAAGCTGAGCCCAGCACTTGATCCGCCTTCCTACAGACTTAAGAGCTGAGCTCAGTCACACAGTGCAGCTCTTTTTGAATCGCCGCGTTGCCGAGGGCTGGGGGTTGCTTGTTTGAGTGCTTCCCTCTTGCCCTGCGTAGTCAAGCAGTTCTTTTCCTCTGGCAGACAAGATTCCTATGCTCGGTGAGTTGTGTGTGTGTGTTTTAATAATGTGGAGTCTCCTAGCAATGAGTCCACTCCCAGACCAGCCCATGTGCAGCTGTCCTCTGCCATCAACCCCATTCTTGATCTCCTGAATTTCATGAAGTCTTCACCCCACAGGAGGTGCAAGTTTGGGGCAAGTGTCCATGCCAGCACTGGGCCTACGATTCTCTGGTTGTGGAGTCCTTCCAAGGAAAGGCTGAAATGGGAAGGTTGGAAATTGGAGCTATCTCAGATTGGCAGTGGAAGAACCCACCTTCTGCCCCTCTGAATAAGGAGGGCTGATAATCAGTTGCGGGGATTATATTTAGTGATACTTTTTCCTGCTGTATCTCTGGCCACCATGCCTGCATGTCCAGGTACAAATAGGGTTTTTTTTTGGAAAGAAATTTGCTTTCCTTCTTTGGAGACTTGCCCCAAGAGGAACAGGAGATCTGCTCTAGGTTTTCAGAATGAAGCCATTCATTCCGTGAAGCAATGGCCAGTACTTGGTGTGGTACGGCAGGCCATGGCCCAAAAGCGGCCTTGCTGCATTGCATCGCCATGCTTGGCCATGGTCTACTGCCTTCCTTTCCTTTCCTTTCCTTTCCTTTCCTTTCCTTTCCTTTCCTTTTTCTTTTCTGTGGTTTCTCCACTGATCTGTTTCTCCTTATCACATTCATCAATGAAATTTCAGGACCATTCATGTATTTGTTGTCGTCCTGTACCTTCAAGTCCTCTCCGACTTAGGGTGACCCCATGAATGAAAGCCTTTCCTGTCCAGGACAGCCCTGCTTAGCTGTCCTGAATTCCAGGCTAAATTCAAGGCTGCGTCCTTCTTTATGTGCCTTCCATCTCTTCCTAGTTTTCTTTTCTTCTGCCTTTGACTTTCCCTTGTTTGTGAGACTAACCTATACTTTGTTGTTGTTAGTCGTGAAGTCGTGCCCAACTCATCATGACCCCATGGACAACATTCCTCCAGGCCTTCCTGTCCTCCACCATCCCTTGGAGTCCACCCAAGCCCACACCCACTGTCTCAGTGACTCCATCCAGCCACCTCATCCTCTGCCGTCCCCGTCTCCTTTTGCCATCAATTGTTTCCAGCATTAGGGTCTCCTCCAATGAGTTTCCTTCTCATTAGGTGGCCAAAGTATTTGAGTTTCATCTTCAGCATTTAACCTATACATATTCAGACATAAAAAGCCATACCATTGGCTGCATCTGGAAATGCTGGGAGTTGTAGACATATTTCTATCTAAACATGCATAAAACTGTATTCTAAAAGACTAAACATACAAGCCAAAATTATTAGTCCTCTAACGTGCAATTTCTCTCTTCTGTTTTAGGTCTACCAGCCTTTGCTAAAGAGATACATGGAACTGGAGCAGCGACTGCTGAGTGGATCAAAGTAACATCACACGACAGCGCCAAACAATTACACCTTTGCCCTGTGTCAGTGAACAGCAAACTGAAGATCAGACAAAACTATCTGAAATTCTGTAACACATTCCATTGTTTTATACCTAGATCTGAAAGATTTTGATTTGATGCTTTCTACAGGCAGGATAACAAAAGCTGTCTTTGTTTGATCTCTTCATCTGTAGTTGTCCAAAGTCTGTATGCCTTCCTGCTTTTGCCTTTTTATGCCTACCAGTTTAGGTTTGGGGCACAGAAAAAAAACATGCAGTCACAGGACTGTGACCCAGGAAGCTAGCAAGAGGCCAGCTAGCCCCTACTTTCTGCAGCCCCAAACACGGCATCCAGTGGTTGATCGGGGTTTTAGTGTCTCAGTACATGGCAGGCCAAGTGTGAAATTCAGCTATGTGGAAATCCGGGTGCTTTTTTCCAAGAGCGTGGTTTTGGACAAAACCTCACAGAGACCATACCAAGTGCCATTACACAATTATTTTGGCTTTTTGCCAAGTGATGGTCAGATTTTCCTCATGAGGAATCCTGTGAATGGTAGTTTTGTACAGTTTCCGGAAGATCTGTCAGGGGCCAGCATATGTACCCCTTTCACAAACTACCTTTCTGTGGTGGGAAGGAATTTTATTTTTTCCGATTTATATCCTGCCTTTTTCCTACAAAGGGCTCAAGGCAGCTTACATCATTCTCCTCTGCCATCTGATCCCCACGACAACAACCCTGTGAGGTAGGTTGGGCTGAGAGTCTGTGACTGGCCCAAAGTCACCCAGTGGGCTCCATGGCCGAGCGGGGACTCGAACCCAGATCGTCTGAGTCCCAGTCCCATGCTCTTAACCACTACGCCACACTGGCTCTCAATGGCTGTTTAACCTGTGTGGATCTTGTAGATTTGTTTTTTCCAACTGCATGCCCTCTTGGTGGATGCTGGGAGCTGTAGTTCAGCATGCCTGGAGGACCCCAGCTTGGGGGAAGGTACGGTAACCAGCCAAGGACAGAGCAGCTCTTTCAGGGGTTACAGCAGTGAGTTGTAGCGGCCTGCACAGCGTGACGGAGCTTTTCCTTTCTACATCCCGTACGGGTTAGAACTATCCCAAATAAATAAAATACATTCGTTTCTGTGAGGCAAATGTGCCAGGATGCTTGGAGAATGTGAATCGCAGATGCAAAATTAACAGAAACAAATAAAGGTGATTTGGATCATTCATTCTGTGTGCAGGATGTCGAGGCTTCTGCAACGGAACACAGAGCTGGAACCAGAATAGGAGCGAGCTGAGCCTTGGATCAGGGCCAGAATTAGGGGATAGCTCGGGATGGGGTGAGGGGTGTTACCCCCAGCAAGCAGGACCTAATTCTTCAACTCAGCCAAATCAGTGCTCTGTCTAGTCTTGCACCGGGACAGAACCAACACCTTCCTGTTTCACTCATAAACCATCTGGGCATTACAATAATTCCTGGTAAATATAGAAACATAGAAACCGAGCGAGTCAGGAGGGGTCTCCCGGTCCATCTAGTCTGAGCCCCAGTAAAATGCCTTCAATATGTAAAACAAAAAAAGCATACTCCAAAGGGTTCTTTTTTTTTAATACTTGAAAAGTATTTATTTATTTATTTTCCGCCTCTCTTCCTTTTGCAAGAAACCCAAGGTGGTCCTGCTCTCCGTTTTATCCTCACAATGTCCCTGGGAGGTAGGTCAGGCTGGGGCCCAGAGTTACCCCATCGGTAAGTACAGGCTAGAACCCAGATCTAGGTCCCAGCCTGACACTCTAACTGCTAGGCTACACTGGCTTTCAAATGATCACCAGCCCACCCCCACCCCACCCCCCCACACACACAACCCAAATAGGCTGCTCCTGTCTTCATTAATAAACAAAGCCTCTTGTTTGTGTGAAAAGGCTGTGAGGCATGCAGTCCAGAACCCTTCTGGTGGCCAGAGCTTTGCCATCTTGCTGCAAACTTGAAATTTCCATTCCCCTCAAAGTCCTCATTTCCTGCACGACCATCAGCCTTTATAGGCAAGCTCAGAGCCATCAAAGCTTCCATATAGCCTGAAGTGCCTGATCCTGCCTAATCCTGGAAGCTAAGCAGGGTCAGGCCTTGTTGAAAACTGAATGAGTGACTGAATGTTGTGAACTTTGGCTCCGGGTGGTATAGAAATGTAACGTCGTCATTGTCAAGGTTCTTCAAATACCACCTTGGCTGCCTACACCAGGTTGCTCTCTAAGTCCTTGGGCTGGACTGTTTCCCAGCCCTGAGATCAATTTTCTTTTGAACTGGAAGTGCTAAGAGCAAACCCTGGATTTTTTTTTGCATTAAACGCAAGTGTTTTTGCTGCTGAGCAATGGGCACTTTGCTGAGATACAGAAGATGCTTTCTTTTGAGAGTCAGACCAGCAAACCTTCTAGACTGCCTTTGTCTGCTCTGTCTTTCTGGAGTCCTCTTGTCCCTCTGGCTCAGTAGAAGAGTCCATTTTTGACTTTGATGTGGAAAAATGAAACTTTCACTCATCTGGACAAAGAAAGGGAAGGATTTCAAAACCTGTGGGCTACCACAAACACACTCCTCCTCGAAATTCTGGCAAAGCTTTTGATTGATGGAACATTTTGGCCTATTTTGCCTCTTCCTTGCATGCTGTCTCGTCTTTCCCCTGCTTTTAGTTTTCTGGATCTTGAATACAAAGCATTGACTTAGACAGCCCACAGCTGCGGCCGTTCCCTTTTAACGTGATGGTCCCTGAGACCTACCTCTAATCCATCTGCAAAACGTTTATTGATTCTCCAATAAGCTTGACACAATGAAAAATTATTTTCTTTGCTGCCTGAAGCCCTTTATCATGGAAATGGAAACAAACCAGTTGGCACTTTCTGAGGGGCTTTGCTTTCAGAGTGCTGACAAACTAAAGCTATGGACCCGCTGTTCATGCTTTAAAAGGCACCATTGATTCAGCAACACCTAATTTGATCTCTGCTGAATCCTCTTTGGTTTAACTATTTTTGCTGTGTGTATGTGTGAAATGCAGGAGATGTTTAAAAAGCAGTGGCATTACAAGCAATTACTCTAAGAATCAGGTTCAAAGTCAACAGTGAACTGGTAGCATAAGCATGGGTTTTATTTATTTATTTGACAATATTTATTAATCACAGCCATTTCTAAACAATGTACAAAAATGGTTTTCATGCAAAGAATGAGCTTACCTTCCTGGAAATGTTTGTTGGAAAAGATATGTTTTCAGAAGGTGCTGAAAACCCAGAAGGATTAATACCAGTGGTAGAGGGCTCTGAACAATGAGCACTACAGCCCTGGAAGCCCTATTCTGAGGAATAATGAACTCTTTCTCCAAAAAATTGGGTAGCGCCAGGTGACTAACTCTTGAGCACAGCAATTGAACAGGCTGATAGGGATGTCAAAGGCCATCTGGTCACAGTGGGCATACAGTCGATCTCTTATAGGTCTAATGGGGTTTTGCACACTGTCTGGGGCATATGCCTGGTTGCTATTTTGGTGTGCCCCATGGATGCCTGTCTGAAGGCGGGTGTCTTCCCTCCTGTTCCAGAATTTCAGCCCTCATGATGGTTCTTTAGGCAAATGTTTATCTCTGACTCCCTTGGTTTTCACACAGAGTACCTATTTTGCTTCATTTTTTTAAATGTTCAGTTTAACCAATTAGTTAGATACTTTTATTCAGCCTGGAGAAGAGACTCCGAGGGGATCTGTTGGCAACATACAGGTAATTTGTTGTATGTATTATATTTTAATTTTATGTTGTGAGCCGCCCTGAGGCTTCGGCGAATGGGGCGGCATAGAAATGTTTTAATAAATAAAATGTGAGGGGGCGTCACACGAAGGTGGGTAGAGACCTGTTCTCCCCTGCAGAGGAAGGCAGGACATGCTCCAGCGGAGCCAAGCTCAAGGAACCAAGGTTCAATTTGGGTGCCAGGAAGCACTTCTTGATGGTTAGGACCGCGGGAGTATGGAATGGGCTTCCACAGGACATGGTTGAAGCCCCCATGTTGAGGGTGTTCAAGTATAGGCTAGACATGCACATGGTAGGCGTCTTGTGAGCGGAGCTGGCTGGAGCTGCGGGTCAGACTAGATGGCCTGGGAGGCCCCTTCTGACTCTCTCCATTTCTATGTTTCTATGATTTATTCAGATACTCATTTTAACCAGCTAGTTTAGATAACAAACTCATGCAAGTGGTCAAAGCATGAAAATTGTGAAGACACGCCGGCTTAAAATAGGTGCTGTTTCATGTACCGGACTTGCTTGCAACTCTTTGCCCTTCTCCACCCACCCTCTGGCCTTCACCTTTGCTAGCAAGGTTTATTCTAACATGCAGCTGAACACATTTTGTGGAGTTAACAGAAAAAATGCAGTGGAAATTAAGTTTTGGTGCATGCTTTGAAGCTGTGGGGAGACAGTCATTCCAGGTTTTCCCTTCCTAAATCTTCCCCACCTCTTTTAATTTTCATTTTTCACCTGTCTGAAGCTTACCTGATGCATCAGAAGCTCCTTTTTAAACATCTTACGATACATTTCTACAGAAATATTCTACCAATACAGGCAGTCATATTTTGCTATGTGCAGACTTCGGAGCGCCGTCTCTGCACAGGTTGCCTCGTGCTTCCTTTGCTATTTGCTGGAGGTTCCCCAGGCTTCTGATTGTCTGCCAGCCCAATTGGTTTGGGCAGGTGTTACCTACCCCTCTCTGGCGATATAAGAGACCGGCTCTGGGACTTTCTGTGTGTAAAACTTGCTGTACCAGTGATGTTTAGCCTTCCCTGTGGTTTCATCAAAGGAAAACTCCCTTAAGAAGCTGATGCCATAACCGTAAAGGGTCCGAGGCTCCGAGGAGTTTCAGTGCCAGTTTGAGGCAGAGGTTTGGTCCATATTCTTGTCTATCTCCCCTCTCATAATGCACCAAAGCAAAATTTGGGCTGCCTTTGCGGGCTTAGGTGACCCCTGTTCTTGCAGCAGCTGTCTCTACCTCCCTTCCCAAATAATATTTCATGGTATCATTTTTATATGAGCTTGTATATTTTTTTAATCAATGGCCTTTCTTCCTGGACAAGGACTGTTGAAAAGCTACGCTCCATTCAAAGCAGAACAACAAGCAGAAGGAATAGGGCAAAAGACCATTTCAGCGTTTCGAGTTTGCATTTTGTGCCTCAGCTGCCTTCCTGGGCAGTTGATTTCAGAGAATTGCAGCCAACACGGGAAGGATCTGGCCCATGCTCCAAAAGGTCAAGGAGGTGGCGCACAGCCTGCCCAGTGGTTCTAAGATGGCCTGCCCCAGCCTGGTGCCTGCCAAAAGTTTTGGACTACAACTCCCCACATCCCTGCTCATTGCTGGCTGAGGCTGATGAAAGTCCAAGTCCAGAGCATCCAGAGGGGACCAGGTCGAGGAAGGATGCTCAGAGAGAAGGGACCCATGGCTCTGCAGATGTGTTCTCTGGCTGTCGCAACTCCATTTGAAAAGAACAGTGGGGCAGCCAGAGGTGGTGCTTTTTAAGGGAAATGTGGAGCCAGGTGGAATGGGGGAAGCACAGAAACATGCAGATGGCTTGAGTATGGGGAAGAAAGACTGTACCATCGTCCGCTGGATGAGTCAAGGTAGGTGCCATGCTAAACGTGTCACTTCAACTAGC